TCCGTTTCGCCACAAACTGACACACCGTCCACCAGATTCTCGAAGCCATTGGCGTCGACTACATTGACGAGTCGGAAGTCCTGACCCCCGCCGACGACGTCTACCACGTCACCAAGCACAACTTCAAGGTTCCCTTCGTCTGTGGCTGCCGTAACTTGGGTGAGGCCCTTCGCCGTATCTCGGAGGGTGCTGCCATGATCCGCACCAAGGGTGAGGCCGGTACTGGAGACGTCGTGGAAGCTGTCAAGCACATGCGCCAGGTCAGCTCGGACATCGCCCGTGCCCGTGCTATCTACCAGTCCTCTGCCGACTACGAGCCCGAGCTGCGCCAGTTTGCCCGCCAGCTGGAGGTTCCCTACGAGTTGCTTCGTGAGACGGCCGAGAAGGGCCGTCTGCCCGTGGTGAACTTCGCTGCCGGTGGCGTTGCTACCCCTGCCGATGCGGCGCTCATGATGCAGCTGGGCTGCGATGGTGTGTTTGTTGGTTCCGGTATCTTCAAGTCCGGCGATGCGAAGGCACGCGCCAAGGCCATCGTGCAGGCCGTCACTCACTTCCGCGACCCTAAGGTTCTCGCCGAGGTGAGCGAGGGTCTGGGTGAGGCCATGGTGGGCATCAACGTGGCGCAGATGTCCGAGGCCGACAAGCTGGCCAAGCGGGGATGGTAAGCGAGAAGCATTCTAGAGACTTATTTTCATCGCGGGCGTTGGAAAAGCTGGTCTACTGTGTTTTTGTACACTTGTGTTGCATTTGCTGCCGTCAAGGCGATTTGTCTTAGTACATTGTTGATATGAGCCATGAGCACATGATCTACTATCCTTTGAGTAATAGAAATGCGGTGGTTAGACGGGCTTTTTCTTTTTTTTTTTCTCATTTAGACTTTCTTAACCTCGGGTTCCTTGGCACACTTCAACGTTCCATAGTAGCTTGATCGTCTGACCTAACTATAGCTAGCCAGTAATCTCACACATCTTTCCAAAAATATTGCCTCTGATATAATGATCTCCCATACCTATAAACAATCATACCTATACCAATGGAAGGGACCGGAGCACCAGCTCAACTCCGTTTTCCAGGCTAGCGGCGGGCCGGAAGGCGCCCTCGGCTTGCCGCCGATCCGCCGATGAATTCGCTCAAAAGACCCATCTCACCGGTGAACAATTGACTCACCTTCGTGTTCGAACCTCCAGAGCACGCCAAGAAGATTCCACTATCTGTTTTTGAGTTGAATACAGGGACCCCATTGCGCCGTTCTTTGACATTGAGTAATCGAATCATTCACCGAGACGGCGCCGAGAAAGTTACTTTCAATTACCGTTACGTGACATACCACCTTGCAGACGGGTAATCTGCAATGACAGCTCTTACCATACCGCTTGTTAAGCATACTGCTCCTACTCTAGCCGTGAAAGCTATTCCAAATCTAGCGATGCGATCATGTGACTAAGAGGCTCGGGAAAGTCAGTCTATGACAGCTACCACTAGTGACCCTTCAGGGCTCCCCACCCCGAGACTAGGGCACTACGGAGGCCGCTACGGGATGTAAGGCCCTAAAGTCAGGTACTAGAATACTATAGCTAGCCCGCATTTATCGTTGAAATCTGTAATCCTCGAGAAACTATCCTGAAGAGCCCTTCTAGACTACCACCCCGGAGGCTACTAGGGCAACCACCAAGGGCCCTCCTCCCCCAAGCCCTCCGAAGCTCCCCAAGAGTCTCCCAAGAGCCACCACCACCAGGGGCACCTCCAGAGGCACTATGGAGGGTGCTACCTAGGCAAGTACAACAGATATAAATTTTCCTATATTATGTATTATGGTAGGATGATAAACCTAATATGGCTCAGCTGCACTCCGCATGGTATGCCCTGATATTTTCTGAGGCCGCCACTTCCTTACATCTTGATTACCGAATATGGAAGGCACAACTACGTACTACTGCCCGCTACATAGCATATAGTAAATAGTTACAGCTTAGACTCCACACAATCCACCCACATCTACACCACACACTCTCTAAGAACAATCATCAATAACTACACACACACACACACACACACACACACATACACACTCGTTCATCTACCCAACTCAATCATACTATATACATTGACACTCAACCCAACACAAACCATAAACCCTGCAACCGTATCTTCCACCACGACTAGTGCATCATACCACCCAGCAACAATGAACAACCTCGCCGTGATCCCCGCTATCCCCATTCTCCTCACCATCATCATCGGAATTTTCCTTATCCCTATCCTCATACTAGCTGCCATCCCCACTGGGATCTTCCTCTTCTGTGTGGCCGTATGCGGCGTAATCGCGGTTGTCGTGTTCGGCCTGTTCTCGATGTTCTTCATCAGTCCAGTGATCCTCGTGGTGGCGGCTATAACGTGGTTCTTCGTCCTCACCTATCGAGCGTGCAGATTTGCCTTCACGGTTATCTTTGGTCTCTTGGTTGATAGGTTGTGGCCTCCTGGTCCTTTGCCGAATGGGTGGGCTAACTGATTTGCTTTGGGCAGTTTTGGTTGAGAGGTTTTGTTGTTGGAATTGGAGATTTGGGGGGTGGGGGTGGGGGTGGGATGGGATGGGAGAGGGGTTCATAGAATGGGAGGGACTGGGTTTAAGGAATGGATTATGGGTATGATGGGTTTAGATCATAGTTGTTACTAGCGATGGAGTTGGTTATGGTTTCCGGTCTTTGTCTTATGAAATAAGAGTAGATTGTTCACACCAATGACAGCGATAATATGTGTCTCTCATAATCCGAACTCAGCCATTGGGAATTAGCAGATATGCTAATAATAACCCTCGTCCTTGGAGGTATATCAATTGTTGCTTAAGCACTAGCCCTCTTCTTAGCACAAGCTATGATCATAATTGCTGTTGGTGGGTTCTGGTTCTTGATCATTACGCTGATCATATTCGGTGACTGCCCACTAGAGTATTTGGTAGTATTTTGGGACTGATTGAAGGTGGTTGAATCAGTTCGGACTATAATTGATTTAGAGGAAGGCTGTAGTAGTAGTAGTTGTTGTTGTTTTCTGTGTTGCTGTTCTTATCGTTATTATGCCATAGAATAGATACTTGACTAGAATAGCAATAGAGACGTTCGCAGAACAGTTCTAACGAACAATAGTAATGTTAATATTACGTAAATAGCTAATGCGTTTCTGCCCATTTCACCCATCGGCGAATACAATCGTCTACCCGTTTCAGAGACGCCTTCTCTGCCGTGATCTCAAACCACTCGCGATGCTCCCGTCCGCAGTCCGGACATTTCCCTAGGTCGCGGATCCGCACGTCGCCAAGCTCCAGATGAATGAGCCGTTCCACACGGTGGACATGGGGCACTTTGCGTCCCGGAACAAGAGTTGCAGTACTGTCATCATTGCTGCGGCCGTGTCGAGATGGCGATGGTTGCGGGGTGGAGGGCGTGTAAGGGTAGTATCGGATCAACGTGAGATGGTGGCCGCATTGTCGGCTCCACTCATTGAGTCGTCGCTGCACATTGTTAGCACGCCCGATCTTTAGACGGAGCGTGCCGGGGCTGTCATGAGTTGGTGCAGATGCCAAGGCATTGAGATCGCGGGCGGTCCGAATTGCATCGCTTACGCGGCGGTCACGTCCTGGGGAGGATGTTGGCGGCACGAGGTTCGAGGCTACCTCTGAAGAAGGCAGCTCTTTGGATTCAGATGTCGACGGTGTCATCCAGAACATGTAGATATAGCCTGGCTCGTCGGCTTCCGAGATAGGCTTGGACAGTTCTGCGGTGAGGTTGGAGGTCGTCTCCGGCGCAAGGCCAGACGGAATCCAAGAGAGAATGTCGTCGTCGGTGCCTGAAGAGGAAGAGCCAGGTTTGCTGGGTCGAACAGGAACCTGGTGAGGAGACAGGGATGGGATTGGTGTTGACAGCTTCCCAGCGGGGGCTTGTTGCATCTCCGTTGGAGCATTGACCGGCCGCGACGGCCGGATGTCTTCCTCCTCGATGACCTCGAAGCAGCAGCATATCGTACGTCTGGTCCGCTTCTTTGGTGTTGGTTTCCGCTGCCTGCGGCGCTTGTCTGAAGTCCCTGCGTCGTTAAGATCCATCAACCCTAACCGCTCCATTAAAGTGTCGATACTGCCACGGGGCCTCAATCGCGAAGGGTTGGCCCCGCTGTTCGTCTGCAGAACCGACGCTGCCTGATCTTTGTGCTGCCAGCAGTACATCGCAGATAGGTCGGTCTGTTGTGACTTCGAAGCCGGTGTCTCTGATGGCGATGGAGACGCCAGAGCCCGGCGACATGGCCGCCCATTGGAGGTGACACCGCGACAAGTTGTGGCCGGATCAAGGGAGTCCGTGCGACCCAATACAGCTTCTGGAGTATTTGCAATAATAGGCATGGCGCGATTATGCAGCGCTTCAACAAAAGTAGGTAGAATGGAGTAAGCGTGGAAAAGAACAGGCAAGAAAGAGCGCGGCAATATCACCAGGCATGTTTAAAAGCAGACCAGCGGCAGAATTCCGAGGTTGAAGGGCTTTATTTGCCCATGGGTTAGGGGGCAGAGACCCACATCGCGTTATATTCATAGCCGATCAAGCTAAATTAGTAGCATCTGGCGAAAAATCGAGGCGACACCTGAAACCGATGCCCCATACCGAGTAAAGTGTCGTGCTGCCCCTTACTTTGTAGGGCCAAGCATGCACCGCCTCTGTGGCTGAGGAAAAGAGGCTGACTGCCAGGTCATCGTGTCTGCGCAACTTGCATCAGTTCCACGGCCATGGTCCTATGGGGTTTTCACACATACACATGAGCAGCGCTTGTTGTCGATTCGGGTGGCGATTCACTGCATCATTCCCATTACAGCCTGCCTCACTTTGGACTTATAGAATAATCATCATTTTTCTTCTTTTTGGTCTGTTTTACTCGGGTTGATCCAATGCTAGCGACTTGACTGTATTCCTCCCCTGCCTGTCCACATACTGTTCCAAACCGGAGCCAGATAACGTTAATATCTACCCAACGTAGTCGAAACTCACTCCCCGACATTTGACCCAGAACGTGCGTATCAACTGACTAGTTGGCGCTCTGGCACCCCTTGCCGCTAGCAGTGACGCAAGGAAGCGTTGCCTGTCCTCGGGCGACGTAGACGCACCTTGATGTTGATTGGAAGCGTCATTGCTACCTAGATCAGCCAGCGCTGCAGCGAGGTGGGGGCGCGCAGCCCCTTGCTGTTTGAAGATGAGCTTTCGAAGCACCTCACAGAGATGCTCGAGGTCCGACCGCGCGCATCGCCCGGCCACCTGATTGATCAGGATACGACAAAGGGCTGGAAGACACTGCATGATGGCAGTTTGAATAGACCCACCGTCATTTGGAAGCGTTAGCACATTCACCCAGAACTGCGAGGCAGAGCGGAGCGGAAGTGGTTCAGGCCCTCGCAATGAGAGGAGAGTGAAATTCAAGACAGCTTCAAGAACTGACGGCCGTTGAAGCTCACCCCCATTTGAAGAAGGAATTTGGCTGGCTTCTTGGGGCGGCGTCGTGAGTGCAAATAGGAAAGGGTGATATTTGGGGAGTAAGCGTGTAAGGAAGTCGATCCCACTGTTGGCGACTTCGGGGTCATAGTACTCAGGTTTCTCATGCATCCAACAGAAAGTGTCATACACGTGCACGATCAGCGCAACCGTTTCGTCACGGATTCGCTGACAGTGTGAGCTATGAGATGCAAGGAAAGATGAAGCCGTACCCATCACTATGTCGGTACCAACACTGCCTAGAGGTATGCTCTTGACAAAGTTGACAGTCACCATTGGTGGGAAGACATATGGTCCCGTACTTTCGATATAACCAGCCTTCAAGATGTCGCATGCGGCTTCAATTATGGTCACATCGACAGGGAAATCGGTGATGAGCAGCTGCATGCATTGCATGATCAGGTTCTGAGACACGGCGCCACTGCCCGTATTCCAGAATGTCGGAGGGTAGGGGTCACCATCCCCATGGTCGTTCGACTCCAAATTCACCTCACCATCGGTTCTCAGACCCTTACCAATACTTGCGACGCAGCGCAGCACAAATTGGCCACGGGTCTGAGCCTGCTCCACTAAGCCACCAACCGCCTCATCACGGGCCGCCTCTGCCTGCCCGTGGAAAAACCGGAGAATTCGTTCAATGACTTGTGACTTTGCTTCGTCCGTAGGCAAAGTCTGGATGATGGCGGCGATTCCTTCTAGTACCTTTTCCATGGTATGAGTAGTGGCCGTGGGTTTGAAGCGGAAATGTTCGAATTGGTCAATGAAGGCTGGCAGTTCTGAGGTTAGCGCGTTGCGGCATGATTTACAAAGATATGCAATTGACTTGGATGCTGTTGGCGCACACGAGCTAACATCGAGAGACGCGAACAGAAAGGTAAGGACTCGAGGTAGCAAGGCATGTGTGCGTTCAAAGTACGACTGATACTTTCCCAGCATGTCCACCAAGGTTTGACGTGGTTTGTCTGGGATTAGCACTCCATTTCCTTCGCACAGGCGAGCGAATTCGTCACAGAAGAAGATCGAATTGAGACACTCGTCAGCGTGTTGGTTCTCATCGACAGCCTCCGAAAGCTGAGCAATGCAGAAAATAGCAGCCTCAAACGTGCGCCATTCCTGCTGTACCAGTGATATTCTTGCTCGTTCTTGGAAGACCCGGACAAGCTCCACCCCCAACATTGGGTAGATGGCTAGGAGGAAGTCACACACATCACGCCTAAACGAACCGAACTCGCTACGGTCATCATCACCCCAACCTTGCAGCTCTTCTGGGCTCGGAAATTTTAGTTTTTCAAAGCAGTCCAAAGCCGCTTCGGCCAAATTCCTTTTAGCCGGCTCAAGACTCGTTTGATCTTCCGAGTCCGAATATATATCCTGGAGGTCATCGGCGACTTCTGTCCACCACTCAAGAACAAGCGGCGAGGCCGGATCGTCCACCGCTGCGTAGCCAGGAGCTTTGAACAGCGTGTGTAGAAGAGTGAGCATTTTCGCATGCTGTGGGTCTAATTGTTTGGTCATGAGGTCTCTCTGCTTCAACGTTGCATAAGCCAATAGGAGATCCAAGAACGACATGTTCTCGTCCTCAAAATCCGCCTCAATAAGTGACGCGACGTGCGCAGCCCCAAAATCACTGACAACATACTCCATAATAGCAGTGAGATGATCCTGGGTAAAGATACTGTCACGCCAGTCTATCAGCTCGACCACAACCTGTGTTGCAGATTTTGCAAGTCCAGGTACTTTCATGCTCTGAATGATGTAAGCCGTCGTAGAGGCTAGGTCCAACACAGACAACGAATCACGCAATTGGATTGCGCTCCGTACATTCATCCACGCCTGATATCGGGTCAGATACGAGGTGCAACTGAGAATCTAATAAAGTTTGAGAAACGAAACCTACTTGATATGAGTTGATAGCTTCAGTGCCCAGGGCCTCATCTGATACCGGGATCCCAGAGGCATGCTGCTGCATAACATGAGAAAGAACATAGTCAACGACAGCAAAGGCGTCCTTGACATTTACGTATGTATGGTGTTCCTCTCTGCTTCGTCGTGGTTCTGAACTCCATCTGTGAATCTCCTCGGCGAGGATATTGGAGAAGTAGAGCAATGAGGTTACATGCCGCTCGGACATAGCAGGGAGCACCGCACCCCGCAAATCAATGGACTTGCAGTGCTCTTCTGAGACATGTTTCCCGTTTGCCAGTGATGCTGCCAGGTTACAGAGTGCTCTGGACCAGGGAGCGTTGGGTTTCAGGAACATGGTTGCGAGGCTTGAAGCCAACTTCCGTATGACCAGGGGCCGCTCGCCCCCATTAACGAGAAAGACATAATGATCTATCAGTCGCCCTAGAAGTTCCTGAGCCTCCTCAGAGCTTAGACTTTGCCTGAATGAGTCGTCTGTTAGCCACGGTCACTGGTGGAATTTGGGGCTCGTACGGAACGAACCAATCATGATTAATCTTGACCGTGAACGTCAAAGCACCAAAGAACCTTAGGTCTGTGCTGGCCTCACTGAGAAGCTGATTGGCGATTAGCCATGCCTGGGGACTTTTTTGAAGACTCTGCAGGTGCTCTTGGATGGCTTTGATCTTGGCGGGGTTCCCAGTATTCCCCGGATCATAAAGTTGGGACACGAGCTAGAGGTAACTATGCCTTAGTGATTATTCGATCCATATGGGAACATAAAGCAGCGACCATACCGACTTGGCCTCATTGATGAGGAGTTGCGCGTCTATGGCTTGGCCTGGGATGTCCACAGACATGGCCGAAACAATGAGGGCCTTGTTTAGGCTGGGGGAACTGTCACTGGCACAATATAGATTGGTGAGAGATGGTGAAAGGGGAGTCACGTGTTGATAATGCTATAACGAAAGTAGCAGGCGGTAAGCAGAAGAGGAAGGTGGGATGTGATGATGGGTTCAGAAAGAGACAGCAACAAGAGAAAGGAATACCAGAGCTATAGTGGGCTGGTGTGAATAATAATGAGATCCAAGGTAATGGGGCAACAGTTTGGTTCACACTGATGAATTGGGTTAGTACCAATTACTGTAGTCATTCACTTAGATAACTAGTTAGTTATCAACTGTGGTGTGGTGTCATAGCTTCACCACTACATTCGGCTGATCATACAGCGACTGAAAAATTAAAAAAAAAAAAAATTAAAATACCGCAACAGACAAAGCTGCTCAGTTTTAGACGAGTAAGGTCAGCAACAGACCGGGCGACATGTAGGGATAGTCATCTCGAGTGGACTAGTTATGACTGACTCTTTGATATTTCAACTATTCCCTACCAGGTTTCCAGGTGTGTTGAGGCCTAATAACTCAGCTAGCTAGCTCGACCTATCACCGGGACCTATCTACCCGACCGGAATGGATGGCGAGATTAATGACGGTAACGAATGGTAACTTCCGTCTCCTTACCAGCCGTGGCAATTATTATTACTGCTACGTACTACAGTGCCAGTAGTGATTGTTGCCAGTAGTAACTCCGTCCCACCGCCCACCAAACCCGGAGCTCCAACGGACAGCTCTTGGGAAATACCCACTTCCGCGTTTCTCCCACGTCTCAATGCTCGGCTACTGCTGCTGCTAGTCTACTTTGTACTGCTATTGTGCTTATCGTTCTTCTAAGTCGTCACTTTCTCCACGTCAAATCTTTTCCAGCTTCAATATTACCTGCGCACACGACCTCCCTGTTGGAAATTCCAGCTATAACTAGCTTGGTGCCCCTCCCCACCTTTCCTCCGCCTTCCCCCTCCCTCCGTCCCCCTCTACCTTGGCCCTTGCTTGCTCCGTGCAACCTTGAGAGCTGTGTTCTTGGAGTCTTTGGATCCAAGGCCACCTTCTGCTCGGAAACCTGCAGCTTCTTCTTGCACATCCTTGCCAGTCGATGCTCTTTTCTCACCCTCCAATTCGCCTTGCTTGGACTTCAGCTTTCCAATCGGCTCGCAAGTTACCCCTACCCCGTTCAAGGCTCTTCTCCAGCTCCGCCCCGCGCTTCATCATCGATATGGAGACTGTGGACACGTCAGAACGCCTGGCCAGGTTAAGGCAGTTGATGCAGGAGCGTAAGGTGGACGTTTACAGTATGGCATCAATGAACCCTGTTCACTGTTCTTCTCGTTGGAAATTATATACTCACTGAAGCCAAAAGTCGTCCCTTCGGAAGACAGTCATCAGTCCGAATACATTGCTCCATGTGACGGCCGCCGAGGTTAGAATCCCGCCTTCCGCAGTTTCCTAGTTCGGATATTATTCGCATTTGCGCCTTGTCTCCCTCGCCACTGTAACTTACGCTTTGCTTTCTTCCGATAGAATTCATCTCGGGTTTCTCCGGATCGGCAGGAACTGCTATTGTTTCCATGACCAAGGCGGCACTATCGACAGATGGCCGCTACTTCAACCAGGCTTCGAAGCAGCTGGACAGCAATTGGGCGCTTCTGAAGCGAGGCGTTGAGGGATTCCCGACATGGCAGGAATGGTATTGGAAACCTACCATCAGACACATAGGATCGCAAACTGAATTGGGTATAGGACTACAGAACAAGCCGAGGGAGGAAAGGTCGTTGGAGTCGATCCAGCTCTGGTTACACCTGGTAAGCAACGTCACGGACCTTATGGCGAAAATCGATCCAAACGCTAAGGCCTTGTAGCGGGCGCCCGTAGTCTCTCGGAAACACTCAAGAAGAATGGTTCATCACTCGTGGGTGTCGAGCAGAACCTGGTTGACTTGGTTTGGGGTAAAGACCGACCGGCCCCTCCAAGGGAAGCGGTGAGAGTGCACCCTGCGCAGTATGCGGGCAAGACCTTCCAAGAGAAAATCGGCGACCTGCGCAAGGAGTTGGAAAACAAGAAAGCGGCTGGGATTGTTATCTGTATGCTATGTTGCTTCCCAAACCTGCATTGTGTTGCGGCTAACGAATACAATAGCGATGCTTGATGAGATCGCGTGGCTGTTCAACCTGAGAGGCACCGAGTAAGTGCTTAGCTCTAGAGTTCGGCCTTTGGTTCGTGCTAATGGTTTTCAGTATTCCATACAACCCAGTGTTTTTTTCATACGCCCTTATAACCCCTACTACCGTCGATCTCTACGTTGACGAGGACAAGTTAACACCGGAAGTGAAAGCTCATCTAGGCCAGGATGTCGTCATCAAGCCGTATGACTCTATCTTCGCAGATGCCAAAGCGCTTAGCGAGGCGCGAAAGCAAGATGCGACGGGAGCGGCCCCCAAGTTCCTGCTGTCAAACAAGGCTTCTTGGGCTCTCAGCCTTAGCCTGGGAGGTGAAGAGCAGGTTGAGGAGGTCCGTAGCCCTATTGCTGATGCCAAAGCCGTTAAGAATGATGTGGAACTCGCGGGAATGCGCGCTTGCCACGTTCGTGATGGTGCGGCCTTGATCGAATATTTCGCTTGGCTCGAGAACGAGTTGATCAACAAGAAAACTACCTTGGATGAAGTTGATGCGGCAGACAAGCTGGAACAGATCAGGTCCAAGCATGATCTGTATGCTGGCTTGTCCTTCGATACTATCTCCTCCACAGGCCCGAATGGAGCAGTTATTCATTATAAGCCTGAGAAAGGAAGTTGTTCCATTATCGACCCAACAGCCATTTACCTTTGCGATTCCGGTGCCCAGTATCTGGATGGCACCACTGATGTAACCCGGACGTTCCATTTCGGAAAACCCACCGAACTGGAAAAGAAAGCTTTCACACTGGTACTCAAAGGTCTCATTTCTATCGACACTGCTGTCTTCCCCAAGGGTACTAGTGGATTTGCGCTTGATGCTCTCGCTAGACAATTCCTGTGGAAGGAAGGCCTCGACTACCTCCACGGAACAGGCCACGGAATCGGCTCTTATCTGGTCAGCACTACACAACAGAGCTCCCCGCTTATGCCTGTCACCATTTAGCTAACAGTATCGACAGAATGTGCACGAGGGACCCATGGGTATCGGCACTCGTGTCCAGTATACTGAAGTTCCCATCGCCGCGGGCAACGTTATTTCTGACGGTAAGGATAGTTGGGATACAGATACAAGGCCGCTTGCTAACAGCACCAGAACCCGGATTCTATGAGGACGGAAAATTCGGCATCCGTATTGAGAGTACGTTTCTCATTTCTCCAAAGCAAACCCCCCACCTCCTTCGCGACTGTTCTACAATGATTGGCTTTGACTAATGCTATACTCAGATGTTATCATGGCGCGTGAAGTGCAAACGACTCATAACTTCGGTGAAAAACCATGGCTGGGATTCGAGCACGTCACCATGGCTCCACTGGGCCGCAATTTGATTAACGCATCCCTTCTCAGTGAGCATGAGATCAAATGGGTCAATGACTATCATGCAGAGGTGTGGGAGAAGACTCACCGCTTCTTCGAAAACGACGACTACACACGCAGTTGGCTCCAGCGCGAGACCCAGCCTATATCCAAATAGACTGGTTCGACATACCGTGAGAAACAGCGACCAGCACGAAGATTGAAGGGCGTCTTATGCTGTTGGTAATTTATATGCTCTCGTCTCTCTTCAGCTACTAGGCTTGATAGATGCGTTGGAGAACAAGCATACATAATCATGTATCTAAACCGTTGGGCGAGCCCGATTTGTCTTAGAAATTAGCAAGTATCAAGGCTTCGTGGCATGGAGCCCATGTGATGATCGCCTGCAGCATTCTTGATTATTCGTTGCCTAATGCCTTGTAAACTCCGACTGGCATTCTATGAGAGAAGGATGACTTTTCGTATAAAGAACGACTGGATCTCTTCCCCAGCCAACTACGCAAAGTCCAAGGAGAGAACACGTTCACTTTATCCAGATAAGATGAATGCTTACCTGAGTCCCATAAAGGTGGGTCACAAATCTCCATGATGTCGAGGGACATTAGCGCCCGCTAACAAGCCAATCACTGTAAGTGGCTGTACTGCTGCCATGCGAGGTAGATACATCCAGCACGTAGATAGATACTTGGGCATTAGCAACCTGAATTGCTCCCACAAAAAAAAAATAGTTTTTGTGATACCCAGAATTTAAGAAGAAGAAGAAGAAGATAATGATGAAGTACAGTATGGATTAAGAAGGACATATGGCTTGGATGGACTGTAGTAACCATGACCAGGCGGATGCGCGTTGAGAGGACTTTCGGTAACACGTGCTCAATTGTATGACGTGCATTAGGCAAATTATACATGGTTCCCTTTGCTTCAAACTCATTACCTACATACTTATGAGACAAAATGGATATAGACAGATTCATAGTTTCTGTAACCTTGTCAGGCTTGCTTAGTGCGGAGTAATACCATAGAACAAGCAAGGCGGTAAAGATTGAGACCGCCAACCCCAAACTGCCACTCCTATCTACAAGCTGACACCTTCTCCGCATAGCATCCCCGACCTAACGTTAATATTCTTGTTTCCCCCATCCGCAGTTGAAACTGGCGTCGTTTCCTCTCTAGCTTTGAACTCATCCCAGGCGATCATGCTAATATTGCTTTTAGCTTGAATCATTGCGACAACAACATTACATAATCATAATTTCACCTAGGGTTTCGAAACAGCCCGTTCCCTTCGCTTCGCCAGCAAAGCCTCAACTCCCAGTTATCAGCTTCCCCACGAATTAGTCTCCGACGAAGACAATTCTCTGGTATGAGTGGCAGTAACCCTTACGCAAACGGATACGGATATTCCGATACCAGCCGCTATGACCGCGGTGATGGTGGATACGGCGGAAGCAGTAGCAGCCTTGGGATGAACGGCTACG